ACAGAGTGAGGTTAAGCACCTCTGAAAATAAAAGAACAGCAGAGTGGTAGTCAATATTTCTATATTGTGTTGACTTTTTCACCCTAAAAAGGTGCATGATGTATAAAGTAGCTGGTTTACTTGAAATAAGACATTTCACAAGTATCTGTATCTGGATCTGAGTGTTTGGATGAACCACAATGTGAAAGTAGAGCCACAATGTTCCATTATTCACTAAGTCAAGGTGGACAAAATCATAATTCATATCAGAATTTTGAACAGATGACCTGCATCAGCTTAAGTTATGATGAACTCTAATCTTCTTGTTGACAATTAATCTGCACTGATTATACCTTTTTTTGTGTGTGAATATTACACGTATGGTTTTTCCATGTATTTGACAGTTATTCTTATTGTTATGGCTGCATAATATTAGAAAATCTTGTTTTGGTGATAACTTTGTGATTACATTATCAGCTGTAATGTTAAGTAAATTCAGGAAGATAAAGAATAGGTAAGTTGGCTCAGGTGAACACCTTCTACATATGATTGGTGAAAATCCCATTACAGGGACTTGAGCTGACTTTCTTGCAGTTTCCAGCTCAGAAGTAGTTCTCTTGATTCTCTTTACTGTCAGTCTAATCTTCTTCTTCTTTTTTTTGTACCTCTGCAGTTTTCTGTTCAGCTTCATTTTCTGCTCTAACACCTGGCAGTGTCACATTACCTGTGCTGGCTGTCATATTCTTGGCACTAATATCTCACTCTATTGAAGCAATGCCCCTCCCACTGGTCACTGAGCCTTTTGGGTTCTTTCTTTTTTTACATAGCTTCTATCAGCTCGGCGTCTTAACGTGTGACAGTGTCATTCTGGCTAACATCCTTCCACATTCCCTCTGCTGGTACGTAGAACTGAAAGAGAAGACATTTCTCTTCAGGAATGGGAAATTGCTGCTGATTACCAATGAAAAATTCTACTACAGAGTTAAACAAGGACATTTTGCATTCAAAATCAATTATAAGTGGAATAGAATGACACAAATGCAGTATGGGGCTGAGCAGTAGCTCAGTGGGTAGAACTGTTGCTTTGCAGCAAAAAGGTCCTGAGCTCTCCCTGTGCATGTGTGGGTTCTCCCTGGGTACTCCGGCTTCCTCCTGCCAAAATCATGACTGTTAGATCAATTGGTCTCTCTAAATTACCCCTAGGTATTTGTGTGTGCATGAATAGTTTTGTGCCTCTGTTTTTCCCTGTGATGAAACATCCCCATGGTGTTTATACTTGGAGACACTTGTTTAAACAGATATTACCCACAAAGCAACCAGACTAGTGAAGGCGTTGCTGATTTCTCATGATGTGTCCGTGACATCATATATTGAAGCAATGTGTTTGAGGTGTTGTCTTAGAAAGAAGTGAAATATTAATTAGCCAGATGCCCAGTTAGTGATGTAATTGCAGATTTAAAGCGCCATGACATCATCATCATCAAGCAGATTTTATATGATGTAGAAGCATGCTAATGTTAGATGTAAACTTCTAACTTTGGCAGAAAGCATGTAGTGTATGTAAATATCTGGTTTCAGCTGTGTGTGTTCTCTCACAAGCGATGTGAACAAACCATGAAACAATGTTTTCTGATGGGAACTGAACCTCCATTTATTTGCTAAAAGCTGCATAGGACAACATTACGGATTCAGTGCTGACATTTAAATTTCACAGCCATGTTTGCAGCAGCTTGTATGAGTAATGGTTACAACTCTATTACCCCTCACTCACATCTTCTAGCTGCTGCGTTCAGGGCTCTACACGGCCCACTGTTTTTCATAGAAAAACACACAGAAACACACAACTCTAGACTCACAAACATTTTGTTATGCCCAGCCTTGCTCTCCAATCAATTCGTAACACTCTTGTCTGAAACTTATTTCAATGTTCCGGTGCTCTTTCTTCTGCCACTGCTATTTAGCACAATTCTGCATTATCCTCTCATCTTGCCCTCCTCCCATCACACACTCCCCCTCTCTTTGCATCCCTCTCTTTATCCGCTTAGGTATTGGCAGACAGGCTTTCTGCGGATGCTCACATCACGCTTTCACACTCTGCTTGACAGTTGATTTGACTGCGAACAGCAACACGGACTGCTCCTGCAACAGTCCTGCACATGCATCATCAAACATGAATGTTATGTTCTCTGAAGCTCTTTGGACCTTGAATTAACAAATATATGAAAAGGTATAAAATGAGCCTCCTGCTACTATCAACGTGCAAGCGTGTGTGCGTGCGTGTGTGTGTCTGTGTGTGTGTGTGTGTGCGCGCGCACGTGTGTGCGTGTGTGTAGAAGATAAAAACACAAAGTGCTTTTGAAGTTGCATTGGTTGCAGCTCTCCTGCTTTGACTGTGTTTGTACTTGTGTTAATCTCAGAGAGCAGAGGCCAATTTACAGAACTGCGAGTCTATTTCACAGCTGTTTGAACACAGAAAAACACACACATGGAGAGTGTAAATGACGACGTATCGCTCGGGGCCCCTGACATTTAAACACTTTTCCAAAATCCGCATGAGCCCCTTACACATCACGAGTTGTGAAGCAGGTTCAGTGACGCACAGCCAATCAGAAAGTGAAGACCACATCCAACACTGTCACGTCAAAACTTCACGCTGTTTAACATTTTACTTGGTTCAGACGTGTCTCTGTTTGCCTTGGCATCACATGTTTGCTTTGGTTTAATTAGTGATGGAAAATGATGGGACCAAACACATCAAATCTTTGAAAAGTGGTTTAATCGATGCCGCCTGACTGAACTCTGATAGATGAGATTATTATGCAGCAGGCTTCATGTGGCGATAAAAACAGCAGGCTCATAAACAACAAGGTGGAATTTAGATCAATCTGACAGCATGCTGAGCTCACTAGCACCACACTTTCTCTTGTTATCACAGTGTCCGGAAGTGGAATACAACACAACACCTGTGCAGATGTTTTGTGTGACATTGAAAGTAGCTGCACTATTCTAAGAAGGTCACATTTTCCAACCAGGAAGCAAGAAAACAGCACAGGTACTCCAGAGACTGTTTACTAACAAAAGAAATGTCAAAATTTCCACTCCTTCCTTGGTGGATGATCATCAGGATCAGCTATTGTGAACTAAACAGATGCACCTAAAACGTAGCCACCAGCACTGCAGGTTAATTCAAGAAAAACAATAGCTGTTTGCAATAAACCACCAAAAAAGAACAATATAAATATTTCAATTGCTTAAATATTGCAAGTGAAACAAATGTGCCATTTTTAATAACTATACAGTCTTAAAATTGTTGAGCAAGTCCACGTCTAGCATGTTCAGTACTTAGTACAGCAACCTTTTGTTTCACTGACCAGCAGTGTTCCTGCCCTCCAGCTGATTAACACTGCTGGTTTGTTGTTGCAACCTCATTTGCAACAACAAACCAGCAGCATTCAAGCGATGGTCTCTGTAGTTTCTTGGCTTGGTTTCTTCTGAAGCCAAGCCTTGGTGATCTCTGAGTTACTCCTCACATCAAACAATGCATGCCCAGCCATTGGGCATGACATTGACCATCATCTTCCTCACAGACAGCAGGACATTTTCCCTGAGGATTTCCAGCGATCTGATTGGACCTGTTATGGCCTCCACATGCTGCAGGTTTCCAGAGCCAGATGAGGCAAAGCAGCCCCAAAGCACCATCAAGCCACCGCCATGTTTCACCTTATGTAAGGTGTTCATGTGTTTTATTCTTCCTCCTCCAGACATCCCACTAAATATCAAAAGCAAATCTGATGCACAACTAACATGCACAAACAGCAGCAATGAACGACAAAGAGGTTTCTGTCGGCCCACTGAGGGGTCATTTCTGCTTTGAAACGATCTGATTGGACAGCTGTTGTGTTCAGGTTGTTCTAAAAGGAGTTACACTGTTAACAAAGCTATTTGAGCCTAAAATTACATGTCTAGCATCTCAATGCTAAACAGGTAGCAGCTAACGCTAATGTCAGCGTCCACAGTCCAAATTTCTAATGAAGCTCCTTGAATGATCAGTTTCCTGAAACTCTGGGAAGAAGAATGGAGAGAACAAAACTTTGCTCCAAACTGATGGTAGAACTTTGTTGTTGAGCTCTTATGTCTATTTTCTCAATTATAAATTACAAATCCTTTTTTGTCGATATATGGCTTTTGATTAACACATGATTAACTGCAGACCCTGCAATTAATTTGATTCAAAATTTTAATCAAGACACAGCACTATATAATTATAAATAGATGCTGAAATCCTAACACTGCTGCCCAAAATTGTTGCAGTGAATTTCCCCTCTGTGGGACAATACAGGTAATTTCTATTCTACTATATGGCACACCAAGTGCTCCCAATTGTTTCATATTTGCTTTTATTGCAGTGTGAACACAAATTCAAATCAGACAGAATAAAATGATTTTTAGATGACATCTGTAACATTTCATTAGGTTCCATATCAAACAGATGTTAACATAAATCCATAATGTCCCATCATCAGTGATCAGCTCATTAACTCAAGCCTGTTATGATGGTCCAGATGTGTTCCACTCTACAGTTCTTGCTTCTTTTTTTTTTCTCATATCAGGCGTCTCATCGTCATGGCTGCAGTCTGATCAGAGCTGCAACATTTAGCCAGGTCATAGGTAGACCTATGGTTCATTTGTAAAGCAAAAATCTTTTGCCTTCTAAATGACACTATGATGTTATCATCCGTGATGACTTTGTCAGTACATTTTGGAAGGCTTCATGAAAGCTTTCCTTTAGAATCATGGTCTCATTTTTCCCTCGCTGACGTTTGTAATTACAAAGTCATTCATTCAGTCGCTCCCAGAAGGAGCTAGCAGAATGAGCTGCTGCCTGATCCCACCCGGCCTGGGAATGCCCCTTCTGCAAACAACTGCTGCATCAACCTAAACATCTGAATGTGCGTGCGTGTTCATGGGTGTTTGTAAGTCTCAAACCTACTGAAAAAACACAGAATCTCTAATACACACACACGCACGCACGCATGCACACACACACGCACCGGCAGAGCAGTATTACCTGAGATAATGGAGGCGTGTCTGAATTCCTCAGAGAAATGAATGGGTTCGTATGGAGATGTCTCGTAGAATTCTTCACCTGAGAAACAGGAAACAGGAAATGTGTTCAGCAGGTGCACAAACTAATCAGCAACAACTGAACCACCCAAAAATCTGGATCAACATGGAGATGTCTTTAGAAACGCTGTGCTGGGTGCAGCAGTAGAGAGCTGCGCTGCACATACAGAGGCTAACAGCTTCCTGGGTTTCATTCCCAACCTTTATTCCTGTGCTGCTCGTCTCTCCTTCTCTCTCTGCCTGTGTCTTATCTGGTAGCTGTCAGTAAAGGCCACTAGAGCCCAAAAACATAACATAAAAAACACATGCTGGTTGACCTCTACTACACAAAAACCTAACCACACACTTTTGCCAGATTTGTTCAATAAAAGAAAAAATCCATGAGGAAATACAGAAGAAACTGTGAAAACCAGAGAACACTGCAAGATTCAGCCTCTGGTGTTGGCAACGAATGCCTTCAAAAACTTCACATTTTTCAGACCTTTGAAATGAATATGTTTTTTATATATATTCTATACCTGTTTAGGAGTGTTTGAAATCAGTTTGAAAGGCAAAAGAAAAAACTAATCTGCACTTTCAATTTCAAACGCACCTTAAATCAGGAGTCTTCCACAGAAGACCCCTGCAGGACATATCTCTGACTTTGACTGGGCCATTGTAACACCGTGTTTCCTTTTTCTGCATTCTGCTGTCAGATTTTTGCTGTTTGTGATATGAACAGAACAGACAGTTGACCGTCAACAGGAGCTTATGGTCAAGTTGTTATTGTGGCCCCAATTGGTTATTGTGGTCACAAACAACCATAACGAGGCTGGGCAGAAATGTTTGAAGATGAAAACCACTGCTGAGGAAAAAGGAACATTACGGCTCATCTCACATCTTGATGATCCCCAAGATGTTTGGAGAAACATTCTGTGTACCGCTGAGACAAAAGTTGAATGTTTTGGAAGACGTGTGTTCACGCATTTCAGAAAAAGAACATACCATCAGTAACGTTCGGTGGTGGTAGTATGATGGTCTTGGGCTTTCTCCTTCAGTACCTGGAAGACTCACTGTGATAGATGGAACCATGAATTCTGCTTTCAACCAAAATCTCCTGAAGGAAAATGTCTGGCCATCTGTTGGTGACCTTGAATTGAAACCAACTCTGGTTCTGCAGCAGAACAACAATCAAGTCAAATAATAACTGGAATATTGATCAAAATATTTGATGTGTATTAATAATTTTGATGATGGCATTTGACAAAATGTAATACTTTTTACTGCTTTCACAATCGGTGGCTGTCAGATACATGGTGATTTTATTATGTTCTTATGTTTTTATGATGTATAGCATTTTGAAATATGCTGCAGAGAAACTGAGGTTTGGTTTTGAAACTTTGAATGATCCAAAACACACCAGCAAGTCCACCTCTGAATGGCTGAAGTAATATAAAATGAAGACTTTGAAATAGTCTAGTCAAAGTCTTGATATGTATCCTTTTGAGATGCTGTGGCTGTTCATGCTAGAGAACTGTTCAATATGGAGGAATTACAACAAAGATGAGTGACAAAAATTCCTCAACAGCTGGAAAAAACTCACTGCAAGTTATCACAGATTGATTGTAGTTGTTGCTGGTGTGTATATATATATATATATATATATATATATATATATATATATATATATATATATATATATTTGTTTTGTTTCCCTACTTCCTCACTCTGTATTTCTGTTTTCCCAGTCAGCCATCAGAAGCTCCTGCTGCTGCTCTGTTGGTGCTTTATGTTGGTTTTCAGCAGGAAGACAAACAGAACATTAAAATGACTAAATGTCACTTCAGGAGAATCTCCCAGAAAAAGTTGATGGCTAAGAGCTTATCATCAGCTCCTCTCTTCCTGCAGAAACCGTGCTGACATTAAGCAAGCAGGGAAACTCAGGGAACCAATCAGAATGACTTACAAACGCAAACGTGCGTTAGTGGCTGCAGTGCTACATGAGCAGAGAGATTGCTTTGGCAGGTTGAGGTTTTGGTTGAGATAAAAGGAAAAAAAAACATTTTAAGCAACATTTCTCTGATCTCTGTCTGATCTGACAGACTCAGCTCCTGAAACACATACTGACTCTGATATGTCACATATTTCAAAAGGTGACATGGAGTCTGCAATAAACTGACTCACAGTCACAGCTATCAACATTTTCCAGAGAAAGAACTTTAACCCTCCACCAAAGTTCCTACTGGGTTTGAATTCAGGTTAGTTACTTTTTGAAATACAGTTGATTCTACAATGTCTGAATATTCATCTGTGGATATAACTTGTTTAATGTCATTTATATGTAGGATGAAATCCAGGTTGCATGTTGTAGGTTCTGTGATTAAGATAAACCGGATGGGGTGGATGATTGAGAAATCTGTGAGGGTTTGGTGAATTTAGTCTGTGTCTGATACTGATGTGTTCTGAGTGTAGCTTTTAGTCTGGGGTGGAGTTGGGTGGACAGCCATGGGGTTCAGAGGTCATATGGTTCTGCTGATTGAGCAGGTCAGTGACCCAGAAGCAGAATTCTGGACTACTAAAAGATGGACTAGCCACTTCTTATTAAACCAGCATACAGTCTGTTACATTAATGTAGTGATCTCTGTATTCTCAGTTAATGTTCAACAAAATCAACATCCTGACCATTAGACAAATGTTATGCAGCATTTTCAACCCATCACAGAAGGTAACAGAAACAGCAAAGCCCTGTTTCCTTCGTCTCCCTTTAGTTCTGTTAGATTCATTAGAAAACAGAGTTGTAACCTGGTGAGATCTATTGAGGAGCTGTGACTTGCAGACAAGTTCCATCCTCAGCTATGTTGTTATAATATTGGCCTGTGAGGAATCAACCCAAAGATAGTGAGAAGCATCATATAATTTATGCCTGTTGTTTTTTTATATGCTCACATAAACAGATTTCCTTCATATCACAGTGCCAAGTTTCTGAAATAGAAATCAGCAGGTGATCGAGGCAGAGTTTTAGTTATTTGGAAATCAATTTTCTAAGCAACTTATGCAAATTTTTACACCAAAGAAATTATTATCACTCTGACAACATGAAAAAGCTTCTGTATGATCCAGTCTTTGATGCTCTCTCTGTTGTTTGACATTTATGGGGCGAAAAAATTATTCTGACCTGACCACCCCCAGCTATACATGGAATATTAGTCAAGATAACAGTAAAGGGTATTTGATTTTTTATTATCATGAATCACCACTTCCTTCTGACTTTTTCTTTGAAATAAAGTCAAAGACAATTGCTCATCTCTGTATAGTGGCATTTTATTCTAGATTATTTATTTAATAACCATAACAATGGCATACAAAAGACAAAAATGTGTTTCAATCAGTTTAGCAAGTGTCCTTTAACTTAGCTCTGAAGGCATTAATAATTTAAAAATATCGATTTTTAAAACTTTGACAATCCAAGCAGAAAATGACGGAGGAAACAGTTTGAGAGAAGCTTGGTTCAGCTTTAATCAGAAAACACAGCAGACAGTTTTCAGTTTACTTTGGGAATTGCACTTTTGTTCATTGATTATTGACCTGGGAGAAGTGAAAGAAGAACTAGCACTTAAAGATCTTTTCAGAAAGTAACAAATACGATTGCTGGTTTGATCAATTCAATTCTCTTTGTTGATTGAGTGCCAATTAAAAACAAATGTGATCTCAGAGAATCCAGAGCTACGTTCTGTTTAAAAATCAGACACTTCATTTGGTTGTGATGCTGAATGAACCAGGTTCAATTTCAAATTTTTTGGGAATACTAAGAACTTGTTCTCTCTGAGTTAGGAGACCAAAACTTTGCACGCTGTAGATGTCTTCACCACCCTGCTGCTTCTCAACACGTCTTGTCAGCAATTACCAGGGTTCCCAGACCTACCTACACCTCCCAGAATATCCCATTTGATATTTGGAGGCTTATTTTCAAAGACTGACTAACTTTTTTTCTGTCACAGGCTCCAGCATCACCAGCTGGAGCAGCTGGAGTCTGCAGACCAGGAATGCTGTGGCTAAAAATAAGTATTTTATTAGGAGGAATGGAAATATAATACTTGGAATAGTCTGGGAAAATGTAAAGATTAATGCATTAATTGTCTCAGCTTTATAGTTAATTTAATTATCTTGGCTTCTTGTCAAACTTAAATATTTCAGATCATTTAACAACTTATATAACGTAGTCCGTGTGACGAAAAACTGAAATGAAAATAGAAATGTTTCTCCCCGTTGGGAAGAAAATTTCTTTTTCACATCATGTAGTTAGTCCAACAAGTGTTATGAATGTGTGGATGGATGAGCAAGAGCTGAACTCAGAGGGAGCTGCCCTGGTTTACTGATGGAGCTACAATCTAACCTGTTGTAGAAGGTAAAGCTCTCTGTCTGATTGTTTACTGTCATTGCTTTAGATCTTACATTAAACCTTGTTTAGCTCTTGTTCTGGATCATTTCTTGCCCGGTCATTCCAGGGACACACTCCAGACACCTGGTGGACAGATGGCTGACCTTGTCCAGAGTGTGTTGGCGGTGGAAGATCAGAGCGACCAAACGTCCTCTGAGCCGCAGCTGAGCAAACTGCCACTTTCCCCGCTAAAATGGGCAACTCTGAGGATTCCATTAACCCACATGTCCTTTTATCCGGCAGGTAAACACTCAGCAGAGAGTCACTTATTCACTCTGCATTCAGATGACATTTCCACTGAAGTGTGTGGGAGCGTTGGAGAGCAGCCAGGATCTCCAAATAACAACTTGTACTCATTCACAGTTTTGTCTCTAATCTTTGCGCTACACTTTAGCGTGCCAGCCAACCGCAGGGCTTGTTTACTCCGGCTTTGTATCGACGCTGGCCTGAATTCCCCCTGCAGTCATTTACCACCCGTAAACATTAGTCTGGCATTTAGCTGCACACAGCCTCCCGCCGCTCCTCTGGCTCGGCTCATGCTTCTGCTCACAGCAACGGGACCATCACACCTACAGAGTTCCAGCTAATTCACTATCACTGAGTGT